GGTTTGTGTACTTCTAAGGTACGCCTTTCAATGACAGACACTACCTCAGAATCTCGCGGTCTACAGAGTCAAATGCTGCTTTTAAGTCGAGAAAGACCACCAATGTCGGACGCCGATAAGTATGCTTATGTTCTAGAGCCTGACGAATGGTGAATATGTGGTCGATGCAGCCACGACCAGGTCTGAAGCCAGCTTGGTTCTCTCGTGTTTGCAGTTCACGAGTCTTAGTTAGGCGTCTGATAATTATCGAGGCTAGTATTATAGATACTATGTTTGTTAAACTAATCCCTCTGTGGTTGTCACAGGATGATTTTGACCCTTTCTTATATATTGGGACGATAAGTGATTGTGACCAGTTAGATGGGATAACGTCTAACTCCCAGATTTTAGCTAAAAATATTAGTCAACCTAATCGCTAAAATTGGACCACCATCCTTAAAGACTTCTGGAGCCAATCCATCTGAACCAACTGCCGTTCCTCGTTTCAGGTTAACTATAGCCCTTTGAACTTCTACTAGAGTTGGGGGACCTACTTCAATGTTCCATTCACATTGTCTGGGAATGGAGGGTAGTTGAAGATTAGCTGAAGGCCAGCTGAACTGTTCCCTAAAATGTTCCGCCCATCGTTCTAAACGTCTGGACTAGGTGCAGATGAGAGTATTGCCTTTTTCCGAAATAATCTCACTTACACTTGACTTATTATTTCCAGTTTCTTTTATTAGTCTGTAAAGCTGTTTTGTGTTCCCTATAGTCGCCGCTTTTTCCATCTCTTTTGCTTTCGTTGCCCACCACTGCTCACGGTCGTTTCTTAGACTTTTTCTTAACCTAGATCTGATTTGTTGTCGCTCTTCATCATGTTCGGAACCTGATGGGACGCGTTTGCGAGAATCCATCAGTGTGATAGACTTTGATGAAATCCACTGGTTCTTTGTAACTTTGTGTTTTAAGTCACTAATAGATTTCATTGCTGTTTCCACAGCTGTTTGTACATCTTTCCAAGCAACATCTGGGTCAGCCTCGTTTTCAGAACTACCTAACTGTGACCTCAGTTGTTCCTGAAACCTACTTTTGGTTTTCTCGTTACTCAAATCAGTTCTAATGGGTCTTTTTAATGTGGCTTTTTTGCGTCCAATGAGGCGCAAGCAGATGCGTGCCCGTATTAGGACATGGTCGGAGTCCAAGCAGGTACTCCAGAATGAGCGACAATCTTGTACCGACCCTCTCCAACGATGACTGATGGCAATATGGTCTATTTGAGTCCATCGTTGGTTTGGTGTAGGGGGTCGCCATGTTAAACGATGTCTATCCTTATGCTTAAAATTTGTGTTTGCTAAAAATAAGCGATTGTCTGAGCATAGTTGCAGCAGACGATCACCATTATCTGTTTGCTGTGCCGGAATGCTAAAATACCCACCTAAATGCCTTTCTGTTTGGTTTAAACTACCTATCTGGGCATTAAAGTCACCTGCTACGAGTACTTTTTCTGAACGTTTAGTTTTCTGAAGAAGTTCAGATAACTTTCTGTAGAATTCATCTTTCATTTCATCTGAGCTGCAGTCGGTGGGAGCGTAGGCAGAAACGATAAAAAGGCAACGACGTGTGTCTCTATCCTTCCGAGTTCTTACAGAGCCGTTTAGCCGAACAGCACATAGACGACTGTTGACGGGGATCCACTCTAGCAGTGCTTGTTCGGCCCTCATGCTTAGTGCTATCCCTACTCCTGCCAGTCCACGAGAGCTGGCCATCGCGTCACCAGATACACGGAGGGTGTATCTCGTTGGCTCTCTGTTTTGCCGAGGTGAGGTCAAGTGAATGACCACACTGGGATCCTGTATGCGTGTTTCGGAGACACAGCATACATCAATGGTACGAGATTCTAGGGTTTTAGCCAGGGAAGCCTGCTGACCGATTTGACATAGGGTGCGTACATTGAAGGCTCCAAATTGTAGTGTGAAGCGAGGTTTCAGTAGACCTGAGACAGTGTTTTGAGCACTAGAATCGTTGGCTATGGTGACACTTGAGGGGGGAGCCGAAAGAAGAGGTTTAGAGTTTGAAGTCAATGTAGGAGGAATAATAGGAATTAAAGAGGGAGGTTGACTATGAATACAGTGATCTTGAGTGCTGTTAGAGGTATGAGGGCAGTTATCACTTCCCGGTTGTCCACACCGTGGAAGGGTTGTTCTGAAGGTACCTGAAAAGGAAATCGGATTCAAGGTGGTCTTAGTGATCTGAGAGCGTGACCGCAGTGCCCAAGGGAGAACTATTTGAGGTCAGTCACACACGACCTTTTTATGGGTAATTTTTGTGTTGGCTCCGTACTTGTTGGGACCTTACCACCGGAGACGAATATCCGTGGGATAAGGCGAGGTGTGCATTTTTAGGGTCGACCTTTTCTAACACCACCCCTCCTTGTGGGAAGGCAGTATCGCTGTTACGCTGGTTGTCTGAAGGAAACACCTTACTGCTGTCACACCTCTGTACAGTCAGCAGTACGACTTCGCCTTCGGACCTTGGGTTTGTTGCCTTTAGCCTTACCGCTCTTCAACCGACCTTTCTGACGTGGTAGGACCTTGAGGAACAGCTGTTCTACTCAGTATAGCTCGGTTGCTTCATCACGATAGGCAAGCCCAACCACCACGTCAAGGTAGCAACAACGGTCGAGGCTGAGTATTTTCTTAAAGACAGGTTTGCTGAATGAAACGTTGGAATTATTTAAATTTTAATCTTTGAAATTTAAATAATTCCAACGATTCATTCAGCAAACCTGTCTAACCCTCTTCAAGATAATAATTGGTCTACTACTATCTAGTCACATTACAATAATTTTCTGTTCAATACAAATAATCTTATCAGTTTAGGGGTTGTGGAGATTGTTAAGTCTTTTTTGATTGAGATCATAAACCGATTGATGTTAGACCACCATTGAAAACCTGGAAGCACTGGACAGCCGGTTCATGATCTCAATAAAAAAAAAACAATCTTATTCATGAACTCAAATAAACATTAGTTATCTTAAATAGAGCAAGAACAAAGATTGGTGCGGAATAATAAATGAATTCATTTTATTTCGTTAGGTTCTCATCAGCTGCTTACAACCTAAATTATTTGAAAATTCAACATTATTACAGATATTGACATATTTATACATAAGAGTGTGATTAAGGATCAATACATGTGTATGATGATGTAGCAAGCAAAGATTCAGATAGAGTTAATGAGGCCATAAAATGTTTGATTCGAATAAACAAATAAAGTTTGACAGAGAAAGTTCCGGAACATTGAAATAGTGATTAGAACTCATGAAAATAGATAAATGGTAATAAAGAAAATATGAATTGAAATCAATCAGTTATGTATGATGTAATTTATATTTCAGAAAGAGTTGCAATAATGACGCAATAAATAAATAAATAGGAGGAAATGAATAGAAAGGGTGGCGGTCATTGTTACCAGGGTAAAGAAAGATTTATTATTGTCTATTTTTGTATACATATATCTAGTTTTAAACGTTTGATTGCTAACGCTTCAGCGAATTTCAAAAGGTTCGAGTTTGATTGTTTGTTAATCACCTTGAAGGACTTCAGTATATCAACTTCATGTCCTGTATCAAGGAGATGTTTTGCGATAGCACTGTTGAATGCGTTCAATCCATTTAACCTTAAACTTTTCGGAGTATGTTCTTTGAATCAGACGTAGGCTCTCCTTTCTGTTCTATCAATGTAACTGCTTTGGTAGATACATGTAAATTTGTATACACAGTTGGTGGTAACATGAAAGGGATACCTGTCGACCTTTGATTGTGTCAAGGAACATGTTGTTTTGGACAGGACAATCAATTTCGCTGCAGGATACGTTCTTGTCAGTGCAGTTTTTAGTCTCATATTGATTGATCCTGTGACATCGTCACCTTTGAATTGAAGTTGAATAAAAATAGGCTTTTTATTTGCTGTAATTTCTTTCCGTTTTTTATCTTCACATTTGCCGTATTTCTCAATAAATTTCAGTGGGTATCCGTTATTCTTTAAACATTTTTTAACATTCATAACTTCCTCTTCTAGTGTATCGGAAGTACATATTCTTTCTGTTCTGTGAAACAGTGTTTTGACCAGTGCCTTTTTGTAACTGATTGGACAAAAGCTATTGAAATTAAGATAACAACCGTTCCATGTGTCTTTCTTATAAACTGAACGTTGAACTGTACCATCCTTTCTTCTTTTCATCACGATATCGAGAAAATGGAACTTGTTTTCTTTTTCATGTTCCATAGTGAAATGGATATTCGGATGTGCTTCGTTGAAAAACTCTAGCAGATTTATTGCATATTGTTTATTATTACATACGATGAAGGTATCATCAATATACCTCGAATAATACGTCATTTCATCAATCGCTCGTTTGAGTTTGGTTCTTTCGAGGTTAGCCATGAAAATATCTGCTAGGACAGGACCTAACGGACTTCCCATCGCTACACCGTCGGTTTGTTTGTATATGATATCGTTGAACTGGAACTGAACATCTTTTGTACAAATGAGTAATAGTCGTTTGAATTCTGGTACTGGTAGAGGTAGGATGTCAGAATGTTGACAAATTATGTCTATAGTTTCAAGAAGTGGTATTTTTGTAAACAATCATGTTACATCAAAAGCAACCATAAACTTACCAGCAATATTTATGTGATTCATGCTGTCAGCAAATACAAATGAATCCTTTGGTGTATAGCTGGCTAATCATTGACGCACTGGTTCTAACTTATCTGCCAACCATCGTGCAACTATTCAAATGATAACAGTTAGTGTATAGTGAATTAACCGTTTCTTACTACTAGTCTAAGTAACCTAAGTGAAACAATATGATCAATATTTGAGTAAAACTCTAATTTACTCAGTAACAAAATATTATTTTTTTATAATGACTGTAATTCACCTTATACGTTTTCAATAATAAGCAGCCTCTGACCAGAAATGCAGACATGGATACAAGTATATATATATATATATATATATATATATATATATATATATATACCAGATTTTGCCATATATAATAAGACAAATCCATTCATGATTGTCTTCATAATAATAAATCACAAAACGAGAACATACATATGAATGAATAGAAAAAGAAAAGATAGTAAGGACTGTTTTATACATACACGCACACACACATACATAAATGCATGTATGGGGTAATGCATATAAAATATGAAAAATGTAAGATATTACAGTGCATCAGTTGTCCCCCCCTTTTTGTTTTACTCTTTTTCTCATCAATTATACAAAAACCAACTATAACTTACATTTTCATGCAATTCTGTAACTTCTTCTTCCTAATTTTTATCCATCAATTTTCTTTCATGATTGAAAGACCACAACTAGAAGAGAATCTCTCACTCCATATCACAATAGATACACCATAAATAGAGAAAAGTCGAAATTTTAAAAAAGAGAATAGATACAAGCCAAGGAACAAGACTTGTTTAAATAAACAATATGAACTATACAAAGTGTAATAATAATAATAATAATAATAATAATAATAATAATAATAATAATAATAATAAAGTAAATAATAGAATCGGGAATCCCTATCAATAAACTTTTCAATTTTCTTATCATTCATGGAGGGTCCTATGAACAAACATCATTATTATCAACACTGTCATTTACAATCAGAAATAGTATGTTGTTAGATAAATACAAGACACAGAGTGATCATCATTGAGTATCAATTTGATAGACAGTTTTCTACTTAAGGAGTAGGGAAATAGAGCAAGAGAAGGTAATAATCATTCTGATTTATTGAATCGTTAAGCGAATATAGAAACTGAAAAGAATGATCAAATGGTAAGAAAAAACGGGAAAAAGGAGAAATTTAATTTCCGGATAAGCGAAAAGCACTGAGAATTTATGTCAAATAAGTGAATTGTTTTATTGAAGAAACAAAACCGATACTACTTATAGCAAGATTGGCAAAAGAATCAACAGTAGTAGTACAAGAGGCAGAAGAAATCAAATTAAAAATAAAAAAACATTTTCAGCATTAAAGTTTTTTGCAGAAATTACGAGAAATTAGTCTCAGTTCGTTCAGTATTCAAATTACTACCACTATAAGTTGTAATCGTATTATTATTAGTAGCAGTAGTAGTAGTAGTAACGGTATCTTCTGTTTGAAGACTAACTTGAGCAATATTCATTTCATTCCCTGACATAATTGAATCATCATTTTCACGATTTGTCTTCATTGCATTTGTCGCTGCGACAATCTCTTCATAACTAGGTGGAGGTGGTGTTGTATTCGATGATTTTACATTTAAAATTTGACTTGATGTAGCATTCTGTTCACTAGTGTACAATGTAGAATTGAATCGACCAGTTTGATTTGAGGATGATTTAGATAAAAAAGAAGGATTTGTGATTTGTTCATTTGGTGATAAATTAAAACGAAATGCATCCGGTATTGTTGAGTTATTATTATTGTTGTTGTTAGACTCGGTTTCAATGGCAGATAGTTTTACAACATCTGTATATGCAGGGGGTAAATCTAAGTTTCTATTTGATAACAAAAAAGTCGAAAAAAAACACTGATTAGTACTTTCATTATAACATTTAGGCAGTATATAGTTTAAAATCACCAATGTAAACAGGTTACATAATGGCACAAATTTTATTAGACATTTATGGGGTTGGTGTATATGACCGAATGAGGAATCGAACTAAAGACCTACAGGCCTCACAATGAACAATAAATCTAAAGAACTCTATGTTACAAAAATATTTCATCAAATGAGGAGCATATTGAATTAGTTCAATATACCATATCAACAATAAACTAAGAAGGCCAAACTAACTTTCACATATATATTTAAAATGAACCTAAAGTGTTCTAAAAACTCAAAATTCATAAGAAATACAACTATTGTGTACGAGAAGTATATTAGAAGCAAATGTATACATGATTACATGACTATTACCATCATACAAGAAAGACTAAATCTAAGGGAAACATCAATTACAGATGTTATTCGAAAAGTATTATCTTTTCGTTACTTTCGATAATTAATTGTAATCATAATGTGTGAAGAAAGTTATCAAATTTGAAAGCATCTTTCATCATAGACTGATATCAGGAGACTACCACCAGTAGAAAGTATCAGATATCATCATCAGTATAGGGTTGTGAAAATTGTTGAGGTCTTATTGAGATCATGTTAGACCACCATTGAAAACCTGGAAGCACTGTACGGCCTTTTTGTCCTAGTCCATAACCCTATATTGACAATATCATATGCTCACTAGTGATTAGATTCGAGAGGTAATTTTCGGAGTTCCAGTGAGAAGCCGTGACCAGTAAAGTTCAACCGTGTTGGGTGTGAGGCACTTACCTACTGGGAAATGGTCAAGCAATAACGAAAATTGGTTGAAGTTAGACATTAACACTGTTAGATACCAGCTTACTGGTTAGCGGTTAACCGTTCACGTGCGAGACCGAAGGTGTTAGTTTCGAATCCCGTGAGCGGGACCGTAGATGAGCAGTGCTCAGGAGACACAAGAGGACAAAACGGCCATCCAATGCTTCCAAGTTTTGGATGGTGGACTAACAGATTGAATATTAAAATTTGTTTATCCTAATCTTAATCAAGAAACGTAACTTCTCTTATAGGTACTTAACGATAAAAATCTTATTCTAAACTATACTTATGAGCTTTGAATTTCTAATTACTCTGAACGGAATTATTATTCTAATTAATTAATTATTACAAATGAACAAGTTCTTTTCTATAATGAGATTATGGATTAAAAACAATTAGTTTTGATAACAAAATAAAATGTGTAGTATAACAACCCTCATTTTATTCAAGGAAACCGAATTCTATCAATTGCTCATTTATGAATATTTATTTATTTGTATCAGAAGGAGTTTTTTGGAGATTGTAGTAATTTCAACAGTTGAGATCATGAGTCAATTGAATCTAGACCATCATGGAAAAACTGGAAGCACTGGACCGCCCTTTCGTCCTATTGTGGGACTTATCAGCAGTGCGCATCCACGATCCCGCCTCGCGGGATTCGAACGCAGGACCTATCAATCTCGTGAGGAGCAGTGACCAGTGGAGTTCAACCGGGTCAGTTGTGAGGTAGTAACTCACTGATGACAATGGTGGATGTGTCGCTCAATTTCGTGGATTAGTTGAAGTTAGACATCAGCACCTTTGGATGCCGGCTCAGTGGTCTAGTTGGTTAAGCGCCTGGCGCGAGACTGAAAAGACCTGGATTTAAATCTCGCGAGGTGGGGTCGTGGATGAGAAGTGCTGAGTCCCACAATAGAACGAAACGGCCGTCCCGTGCTTGCAGGTTTTCCATGATGGTTTAGCTTCAATTGACTCATGATCTCAACTGTTGAAATTTATTTATTTGTTGAGAAATGATTTTAAGAAATATACATAAACCTGTACTTTAGCAGTGAATATTTACATTAATTTATAACCTCTCAGACATACATACAGAATAAATGCCTTTACATTTTACAGTTAGCTAAACTTACTACTTATTTTGAGAATAAAGATTAAATACAGATAAACAACCTAGAATGATTTATCTTGATAAATCTCGTTAAATTAGTTATCGTCAATGATCAAGTTGGCAGATATACTGGTATTGTGATGTACGCTATTGATGTTGACAGTAAGTATCATCAATCGGAAGTGAAATGTCTAGAGGCAGAAAGTTAAGAAGATCAAAGTAAAGTGAACGAGAACAAAGAATGATTTGTATGAAAACAAAAGAACAATGAAGTTTGAGACAATTGATTGACATTTTGCAAATAAAGTATTTACTATATTGTTCAAAGATTTTATTAAGATGTTCTGTAATTTTGCATTCGATTGTCCTCACTTGTGTTCTCGTTCACATTACAGTATTATTACTGACTAAACACAATTTGTTTATGGCCATTAGTTGAATATAATAAATGTATTTCATCGTTTCGTCGTAGGTTACAGGTCATTACACTTAATTGGGTTTTTTTCAGTTAATATGAAATCGATCGAACTGATTCTATGGAATTTTCGGTATCAAATGTATCGTTTGAATCGAAGTTAACGATTTCAACCATGATAATCTACCATTAACTCAATCAAACCAATATCCTAAAGCAAATGATATCAATTGGATACATGAAATTGACACACTTGTACATTGATTTAACATCGCACAATTCCAAACACCAAGTGATAGAAGACAACAAAAAAAAGAAGAGGAATAACACTCAGTGTACTGAACTTGTTGAGAAGCACTATGCTTACATTATGAATATCAATTAGAAACAACTTAAATGATAAGTAGAATGAAGTAATAAATATCAGGATAGGGAATAGTTATATTAAACAAGTTCTTTAATAAAAATACAATTTCATAGTTTATATTTAAAATACTACCAGAAGATACAAACTATTGAGTGAGAGAGAGGCGGAGAGAAACTGTATGAAGTCAAGATAGAAATGTGTTTGTTTGTTTTTATTATTAAAAATTTGACCTCAGTATCACATGTTTCTCAAAATAGAGTGAACAAAGAAAAGTGCTTTAGACAAAAATATTTCAACTTTATTCACTGATTTCAGATTTCATTGTTGTCAAGTGTATTATTATTGAAGTATGATAATATTAATATAGTGATTATATATCTATATATGTAACCTTTAAAGTCATGTTTTTTTTTAATATTGTCAATTAGTTTAATAGTACAAATAAAATTGAATAAGCACAACCTGAGAATAGAAATAAATAATTAGAACATGAAAACTTATAGAATAATTATTAGATTAACTTCAGTCAGTTAGTCAATCGGTAACAACCACGTAGAACTTCTTACGTACGTACATCAGTTCGAGTTGTCATACCACATTAGCACAGAGATGCAGTTGTCGATTCAAATCACGTAGTGGTAGAGGTAATAAAAGTATAAGCGGTAATCGGAAACATTAGGGTTTGAAGATCTTATTCCAGGAGTATAATCCTTACTTACTTACTTATTTACGAATGTTACTTCTCGTGAAGGAGCATAGGCCGCTCACCAGCATTCTCCGTTCAACCCTGTCATGAGCAATCCTTTTTTGCTTCTTCCAGTTGTTATTCATCCTTTTCATATCTGCTTCTATTTCCCGACGTAATGTGTTCTATGGCATTCCACTTTTCCGCTTCCCTTCAGGATTCCAAGTTAGCGTTTGCCTTATGATGCAGTTTAACGATTTGCGTAATGTATGTCCTATCCATTTCCATCGTCTTTTCCTAATTTCTTCTTCAGCTGGAAGTTGGTTTGTTCTCTCCCACAGAAGGCTATTGCTGATGGTATCCGGCCAATGGATGTTGAGTATCTTACGTAGACAACTATTTATAAATACTTGTACCTTCTTGATGGTGGTTGTAGTAGTTCTCCACGTTTCAGCTCCGTACACTAGAACTGCCTTGACGTTCGTATTGAAGATTCTGACTTTGATATTGGTTGAAAGTTGTTTTGAGTTCCATATCTTCTTCAATTGTAGGAATGCGGCCCTTGCTTTGCCAATCCTCGCTTTTATGTCTGCATCTGAACCTCCTTGTTCATCGATGATGCTTTCCAGGTATGTGAAGGATCCTATATTTTCCAGAGTTTCGCCATCAAGAGTGGTTGGACTGCTGTTTTCCGTTTTGAATTTGAGGACCTTGGTTTTCCCCTTGTGCATTCTGAGGCTTACTGATGCAGAGACTGCTGCTAGGAGTATAATCCAGTGAAATAAATTTGGAAAGAGAAAAAAAAGAAACATGAAGAATTCCGAAGATTAGAATTTAGGAGAACACAAAGAGTGGATGCATCTGTGCTTCTTATTTGTAAATTAATTTATAATATTAGAAGTGGATATTATGGATAGATCCTGAGTTTGAATCTCGAGAGGCGGGATCGTGGATGTACACTGCTGAGGAGTCCCACAATAGGAAGAAACGGCCGTCCAGTGCTTCCAGGTTTTTCATGGCAATTTATCTTCAATTGACTCATGATCTCAACTGTTGTAATTTATAATAATTTGAAGTTATATTAGCCATTTTTAAATGACTTTAGGTATGAAATATGTTTGGTATGTAGCTAGTAGTGGAATCTACAATACAGGTTTTGTTTTATTTGACCACTTGTTAGCTAGATTTATCTGGATTCCAGGGTTAATGATGAACATACTAAGAGCTGAATCCAGTACGTTTCGATTTGAACACCAAGGCATTATGTACTGATAGGCTAACTCTAGCTAGATGGTCACGAACTTGTTTAACATATGAAATTAACGAAAAACTTGTGACTAAAAGGTTTATTGAAGTAATCCTCTAAGGATGATACATAATGAAATTTAAAAAAAGATCAATTGCAGTCCTGATTATCTACACTGGGATTTGGTTTGACAATTACATCATTCTGTGCTAATGATGTATAGCAACTTGAACCGATATACATATGTACAGATTCTAGCTTATGACTACCTGACTGATTGAATATCTACAAACAAAAATGACAAATCTTTACTAAT